AAACCACATGCGCTTAATTTTATTCCAACTCCAACTGGGCATTTGTACGTATGAAACCTGTTTGGCTTGATGAAAAAATCATGATCTATTGGACAGCTACGCGAAAGGTTTAAATTGTATCAGAACCATTCCAACTGGTAATCTAAACAGGAACGTTACATGCGAAAGGAAAACATTCCAAATACAGTGTTGGTTATGGTGATGCTGGCTGAAAGCAACAAATATCATGAGTCGATCATTCATGATCATGGATCAAAAGGCAACCCAATTATATCTGACATTATTACAGATATATTTTAGTGTAAACCGTTGCAATGAGCCGTATAAACTAAATATATGTATCATACCTGTAACGTTTGTTCCAATAATTTTGTTTTCCAGATAACCGATGATAAAGTTAGTGAAAATAACGTTCGATAAGCTAAAAGCTATTTTTCAATAAATTCATCAACTGATCATTACAATTATGTGAGGTTATTTGGGTTCGTCGATCTGATTGTGATCACATCAAACTAACTTCAGAATATATGTTAAGAATGGTTACCTGATCCTCACCTTGATTAGGTCCTTGGTGCAACCCCGCGGTGGGTTGTGTTTCTTCATCCCAGGCCGTGACAAGGCTAACGCCTGAACGTACTGCTTTTGGTTGCTTGTTAGAGGATCCAATGTTTGGATAGCTGACACCTGTGCATAGAATGATGAACTGAAGTCGTTTTGGCAGAAATAATGGCGTGTGATAAATGTTTCGGAAAGCCTAATCAACACTGATGTGTCTTGTCTCAAGTAAATGTTGACAGATAGCGCTTTTCAGCGTCCTAGTTTCACCGTGTCTCAACCAGCATACTTTCTGTACTTAAATTGATGCGATCAAAACCAGATCGCGGAACTCAAATAACCCTCTATAATTGTAATGGCCAGTTGATGAACTTATCGATAAATAGCTTGTTTCGCTCACTAGCTATTGTTTTCCATGTGGTAATGGGTACTTTTATTTACTGAGATAAAATTATTCATTTTGATTCTGCAAAGTTTCGTACTCTCGTTGGGAGTGAAACCCACGAATAGATGACGTCCACGCTCTGTTATCGGATCTAAGTGGCTACGCACAGAAATTTCTGATCTTTTCGCATGGGAATAAACATAACACCTTACAGTGGAATCCACCAAATAGCACGGCATTACCATGGGTTCATCGGACCTACTAATATTTTTGCACTTGGAACATAAAAGTTGTCTTACTTTATCTCGCTAAAAACACAATTTAATCAATTAACCTAACCTGAGAAGATAATTTGGTGGATTTCGGCGATGGATTCAAAGGAATCAGCCCATACGCTGATTGGTGGATTCTAAATGCCTGTGTATGCTGCGGTTGATCCGAATCAGAAAAACCTTTTTGTGATTACATAACTCAGCGTGATCTGAGAAAGTTCTTTGTAAAACAATGCCGTCATCTCCTGATACCCGCCTAAAGAGACAGAATGCTATGCGTTGAGCGTATGATAACAAACTTATGTGAATTCATACCAGTCATGTGGACACACATTCTTGATCGAGGGAGGATGGCACAGTTTATCGAACTCAGTGAACATCATACAAGCACTGACCCATTTCTAGCCAGCTGAAGCTCTGAATACATTGATATATTGTGCCGTGTAACTGGTGGGTAGTGATGAAAAGTAAATTATTCCCTTGGTATCTCTGTAAATTTCCAGATACCGACGATGGTCATCCATTCATTCACTCTACTGTTATTATTCACTCTATTTTTTTCAAAAATGGACTTTATTCGATCAGTCGAAGTTAGCATACAAGAGTTTTGCAACATACACATATACATAACATGCAAGTTGCGAGCTGATTGTGTGCTGACCAGTAATATTTCGTCAGCCTCAACTAAAGGATTCATGCTGCAGTGTATAAATGAATATTGAAAATCTGCTGTAGAATTTCCCTCTCTGTGTTGCTATCACATTCACTTGCTGTATATTCACGCCTCAGGGTTATTCGCGAACTGTGAAATGTGGACACAAACAGCTTTGATGCTGAGAGCTCGAGACAGAAGTCCGAGGTGAGTAGGATTGACCAGCTGTTTGTTGCAGTATTGCAAGAGCAAATACACGTATCCTTCTCCACGTTATTTCTCAACTCCATCAGGGCTCTGGTTTGTGCTTGGATCCATTTCTTATATTCTCAGTCGATTTGGTTCCAAGAAAATAGATGTGGTGGAATTGTTTGTGACAACCTACAAAGAACACTGGACAGCTGTTTCGTCCTGTTTGAGACTCGTTAGCAGTGCGTACATTTTGTGTCCCAATCAGGACTTGAACCGCAAACGTTTTGGGTCGGGACTTCAAACCGTTACCCCTGAGCTACACGGTAGATGGTTATCTTCTTGTGCGAATGGTTCATTCAATTTAGATAGTTAATGTTTGGAGTGAAACCCACACCGAACATCATCAACAGTGCCTAATGCCTGTGAAAAACCGAATGGACTAATCCAAAGAAAACACTCTTTACATTCTTTTATAGTTGATACAAACGCTTTTTGCTTTAGCGGATTTTAATGAGTAATTTCTCCTTAGTTCCAAAAAGCTCACCCTGATGCTTTGTCGCCGTCTTCTGAGCCCATCTTGCCGCATACGACAACCGTGACTTGATTTTCACACATAGATAAAGGTCAAAACAATGAATGACCTATCTGTCCAGTTACGCAGACAGTTTTATAGAGGGGGTTGATAAAAATACACATGAGTCACTGGGGGATTTTCTATTCGGCCGTTTCTGATGTCCACCAAAGTCTCTGTGAGGTAAGTTCTGATTACTTGAATTGTCGCCTTCATTTCTTTATACATTGACGTGTCATGCCAGTGGGGGAGATGAAGGTAAAAAGAGAGTNNNNAAAGAGAGTTAAATCGACGCGGTACATTAAAAAATTAATTGAGTCATTTTCAATCAATGGCCTTTTGATGAGTATCTTATGATTGGTTGTATTGTCCAACTCCTAGTGCAGAATACATTGTCATCTTCAGTTCAAAGGTGTAAGCTCCTCATAGATAATAGGATTCTTTATATAATCGCCGTTATTCCTTTGAGATCATTTGTATCCGAACGCATACGTAAAACCTTCCAAAAGGGCTATGTTGAAGAATAGCAAAGAGCTAGTGGGGTGGCAACCAACCATTCAGAGTAGAACGGAAATACAACGCCTGCATCAGATTCACGTGGAGTCCAGTCCAGGCAACAGGAACTCTCATGGGATGTGGTCAGCTGTAAAGGAACTCTATGGTGCCCTTGAACGCTCCTTTTCTGATGTGGATGACCTCATTTCGCTACAGTATCTGGAGCGAACTTACTCCACCCTTATTCTCCATATTACGACAGAGTCGCGTTAACCGCTAGGTTGTCGGTTCCTAAGGCTTAGGGGCAACCGAAAGTCGGCAAATCCGATGGCCCGGATTTAATGTCACCCACTCTACTGAAAGAATGTGCTAAACAGTTTGCATCATCATTTGCTGAGTTGTACAACTTGTGCTCAGACTCCGGAGCAGCCCTCGATTGACAGAGATGCGTTCGAATAAGATCCATCTCCAAAATTGAATGTAAAATTAATGAATATACTGCTCAAAACTGTTTTGTGGAAGCTTTTGAAAAAGTTCCGTCTTTATTAGCACACTAGCGCTCGATGCAATTCCAAGTCTTACATGCTCTGTGGCATTCGTACTAGACTAATAAGCTCTTGCTGTTTGTCTGACATTTCTATATTGCACCAACAATTTCGACTCGATTGAACGCGGACTATTCATCTGTCCTTGAAACTACAATTGATACACTGATGTATTGGATTTTCCTATCAACTATTTTCTCTGATAGAACCCAACTTACATTTTGCGTGGGCAAAACGCATCCTCTTTATCTGGCAATCCCGGCATGCTTCGGGGCTTTATTTTGCCTCACCAATATTCTTCATTTCATATTTCTTCTGTTCCTCCGGCGATGAAGGAACCGGACACCGGAATCCAAATAAATCTGTCATTCATTTTCTTCAAGATATTTCCAGTGGCACTTTGAACGGATCTATAATATTATTTTTGTGCTAAATAGCGCAAATTTCCCCTTCCCGTTTCATGTTTGTCCCGTATTTGATGTTTCCCATACGACCATTCACGCTGCTCTCTAAGCGTTCATCTTTTCATTCCCAAATTGTTTCGTTCGTCCTCATTTGTTTTATTATTCTAATAATTTTTTTCGGAATAAAAGGGCATGTCTCTGTGATCCAGTCCCCAACGCATCCTTGAAGATCTACCGGCATAGCCAAGATTGTCTTGTTTGATGTACTGATAAGCATTTTCATGCTTGTGTTTAGTTTATTGATCGGAAATCACGTGCAATGAAAACCGTTGATTTGATGACGGATTCAAAGGTCTCATCAAACGATTGTCCTTTCTTTGACTGAATCGAAACAGTCCGTTGTCTTGCTCACGGTTTATTCAGTCGCATACAGGCTAATCCAATCTCAAAGTTAAACTCATGCCAAATATATCTTTTTATTAGTTCTTGCATTTTTGTTCATCGTGCCGTCATTCTTATCTACTTATTTTCAGTGCCGCAACTCCGAAGTGAGCTTCATGAACGGCTGAAAATGTTCTCTATTGATGTATGAAACCTGCCCGACTTACCCTTCCTTACGGGTGCTCAGTATTTTAGGGTAAGTAATGTTAACTAAACTAAATCTAGCTTGACCGATTTGTTTAGGGAATAAGCATCCATGACCTTAAAATCTTATTTGTTTGTTAGTTTTGGTTGAAGTGTGCAGCTTGCCTATTGTCGCGTCTCGCCTATGGTACTTTACTGACTTAATAACATAACGCATGAAACCCAACTGGCACGCCACTTTCGGGGATTCATGCATCCATGTTTCCTTCTGTTGCATTACCTTGTAAATTGAGGTGGTTTGGTTCAATACAAAAGGTGAAAAATGCAAATATTAGTTTATGGAATCAGTCACCAGGATCTACAGCAATATATGTTCCTTTGGTTTCAAATATATCTGTACTGATGTCCTTGTAGTCACGCATGTAACTTTTGGCGGTATCCGGTCGCTTCGACTCGTCCACACGTATCCCCGCCCAAGGAGATGGTTTGGAATAGAACGCCCGGAATCTTTTGGCATTATTGGCTATAAATGTGCACGTGAACAAAAGATTGCACATTAAATATTTGTGGTATTGTATGATGTTTAATAGTTGTACTTATGAGGCAGGATAATTAAAAACTAATTGAGTGATTTTTCACAAAGCGTTGATGATTCCTAATGGCGTCGTATTTAATCGGTCTTTTCAAGGCTTTATTTCAACTCAGCGCTTAGTTGTTTATTAGGCAAGGTCCAGGGTTAAACATCCTGGGCAAAAGCTATAAAATATAGGCCAAAAATACTAAAACAACGGGTATAAATGATGACAAAATGATCTTACTCATGAGATAACTCAGTTTTCCGTTATATCCTCCATATTCGGTGGGCATAATATCTCTCAGTCCGGGTACTTTGTCGTATGCTTTGTTGATCTTATCTTTTACACGTAGTATCTGTTAAAAAACAATAATAATATCAAACAGCAGATAATTTGGAATGGTTGCAACCATTAATAAATCGGTATGCCCGACAACCTATCATCTTCTAACGGATGATATCGGTCTCGATGCATTTGGCCTGTTTGGCCAGNTTGGCCAGAATGAGCTTAGTGGATGAGAATGTTCGTGTAATCTTGACTTAGAGGTTCATTTGGTGGTCCCATTTGACTTCTAATGAAAACCTGTCATGACAGTAATCTTACATGTTGTTTGGTGGATACTACATGCCTGTTTAATTGGAATGGGTGATTCGAATGCGAAAAGATCAGCGTCATCGGTGCGGCTTCGTGGCTTATCTGGTACAGCATGCGCTGTAGAAAGGCGCAGGCGGCATCCATGCGTTCAACTCCCACAGAGGCCACCGGACTTTTCACAACTGTTGTTAGCAGCAGTCCAGTTTTATTGACTTGAAGTGGCCTTAAGTGTTGCCCAATGCATCCAGTTAGCAATATACTCGGGATACACCAGAAACAAGGTTCGGTCTTATTAGAGCTAATAAGCAGTGCATAGTTTATGGTTCAATAAACTGACTAAATACCTTTAAACAGTTCATCTGAACAAACTGAAATCGGTGATTCTCGTCAGCCTCGCAGTAGTAACACGTTTTCAGTGCGAGCATTCCAAAACTCAAACCCCAGATGGATGTGCACCAGAACGTGGCATTCGAATCTAATGTTTCCTTAGTGTGTGGCTCACTAGAAGAACCGAACATTAGGGATGAAGATGAATTTTGAAGGCAGACCAATGCTTGTAGCTAACACCTACTCCAAACAACAACTCACAAACCATCATGACTCAAAATAAATTTTAGGTTTGGTGGAGGTTTTGAAAAAACGAGACCAGCAAACCAATCTCTGAACAACTGAAAGTGCTATCATCAGAACAGACTAATTTCAAGAATATGACTATTCACCTGTCCAATCGTAATGCAAAATTGAAAGAAGACATCTAATAAAGAAATATGATCAGTGATATTGGTTAGGATTTTCAGTTTTCAAGGGTGCTCAAGGCTCATATTTCAGCGATTTCTTAATCTTCTAAGAACGAAATAAACCAATTGTGATCATTGCGGAAACCATCTATGAATTTATGCCTCGATTATCAAACGTAATTAAGGGATAAACCTGTAGTCAATGAGTTTCCTTCGCACTGATTTCCAATGCCTAGGCTTAAACAACACATTGAGCTAAAATCGTCAGAAATCAAAAAAAGAAAGAAAGACATACCAGTGGCTTCGATGCACGTTTTTTAAGTAGAATGCAGGCCCTCTTCCGTTCGTGTTTGTCCACTAGTTTGCGTAATCACACTTAAAAATCAACTCAAACGACTGTGATTAGCAAGAATCACCTTCGGATCTACGTGCGGTTGCTATTCCATTCCCGTTTGTTTCCCTCTTATGCTAATTAAGCATGGGTTGGAAGAAAGAAGTGTTGAAAGTACTCTGTTCATGCCATTGGGAGCCTGTTCATTCTTGTACACTAAACACGCAACAGGTAATGTTCAATGCTCCAAACTGGGTATGATATTAACCAATCATATATTGGCATAATATAACTGTGTCTTGATGGCACGACTACTCCAAAAAGGATAAGATCACCAAATTGTGACCCGGAGTCCCGAGTTTGAACCGCTCCACCGCCACTGTCTTCCCTAATTCTCTATTTCCTCAGGAGGCCCTTGTATGGCCGCAGCCCCCTTCCTGAAACTTGACTGTACATTTGTATATTCAATAATTAAAAGAAGAACTAAAAAAGACAAAAATGGACAAAGCACGAATAACAATTAAAAATGCAGGGTGAACTCACTCGTTGTTTGATTTTATCACTTATCCAGGGCTCACTTAATTTAAACAAAATATCCAAAATAGGCGGTTCATTGTAATAAATTAAATGCTTCACTCGAATGGGATAACAGTCCTGGTGATGAAAATGAATGCGATCAGCCACGGAATCCGCACACACTCACATACCTGCCACACTTTCATTTCCAGTTTCATTTCTGACTTCCCCTTCTGATGCATTACCTGTCTGTTGCTCGCTCCGGTCATGTCGAACACCATTCCATATCCCGTAATTTGAGTGATCGGATCGGCACAAAATCGATCAAGGTCCATATATATAAGTGGCCGCATCATATTTACCGGCAAAACATCTACGTCCCAGTTTGCTGCAAATCGTAAACTGAACCGCCAAACAATTTCGGCTTACCGAGACGAACCAATACCATAGCAACGCCTTCTTTCGTTCGGCCCAATTCAACCAAGACACTGGAGGGAATAAAGGTGTACACAATCCAGTTACGTTTACAGTATAGAGACAATAAATGACTAAGTATATTCACATTCAACCGGTAGTTATTTGCGAATAGTGATGTGCGATACTGGATATTGATTTGCCCTGATTATTCTTCAAACTTTAGCTTCGAACAAAATCCTCAGCTCATCCAGTCAACCATAGACTCGGTAAACATGAGACTGCAGTTTAGCTCTCATTAGAGCCCTTCAATGGCGCATATGTCTGCTACTCTTTCCGGGATTTCAAATATCGACCGAAAGAATGCCAGGCGTGGTTGTTACCACGTAACTACGGATTGCGCGTGAAGATTAAGTCTAAAGGATAATCAATCCAAACGGATTATAAGCTTGTTTTAAGTTCGTAAACCGGTCAGATATATGTCACCAGTGTGTATCGGCTCTTTTTTTCTCTTCACTACTCGCTGCTAACAATTCATTTTAACTCGAGGCTTGACGGTTCGCTTCACTAGGGTTTTATGAACTATAGACGTATTTTATCTCCATTCTGTTCAGTCACCTCTTAAATATTTCATAACGAATCACTTTCTCCCTCGACCAGTGCTTTTCTTTTTTCTTTGCAAGTAAAATCTGTGTACTTCTTGCATAACACAACAAATTTCAACCGTGCATTCAAGTTTCAACTGCTCTGAGTGAATTTCGCGGCACCTCTGATATGTTCACGTGTTTCCCCGTTCAAAGTTGTATGTGGCATCCTTGCTTCGAATCGGATCGTAATTGTGTATATTTTGAAATAATATTTTAAAATAATATTTTGAAATAAATCAAAGGAAAACGAACTGTGAGATATGATAACATTGATTTACTGTGCCCGTTTCATTTTACTCTTGGTGAATTCATCGGTCACAGTGGCCCAGACTGTAAGTGCAGCTAAATGTGATGGGGTATTTGTCAATAAAATCCTCCACGTTACCAATGACAGCGTTCACGTTTTTAACTGATAGAATCATGCGCTTCGTAAAGCGGGAGACTCAGTTTAAATCTAAGCATAAGAGATCTAAGAAATCGGGTTTGCGGCTGACTTTTAGGACAACAAAACAATAAGCCGAGAAAAATGATATTTCATTCTCCACCGTTTATTTTTATTTGTACTATTTGGCCTAATTGGAACAGATGAGGTTGGTTTTGTTATTGAAATACAGTAGTAACAATCAAATGATATAAAATTTACCAGAAAAAAATCGCCACATATTTATTTCATCGCCTGCTTTTAGTCATGCAGTTCACTTAGACGAGCTGCAAATATTTAGCTTGGGTTACTAATGAGAAACGCTCATTGCGCCCAAACCAATAGTAGTGTGATTGCTGACATTAAGAAGCACACTTAATGCCATCTTGTCGAGTTAAGCAGCCCGTGTTTATGTATAGCGAATAACCAGGACGTCATTTTAGCTTCCGTTGTGGAATACTGAATCACCAAATGCAGTAGATTCTCTCAGAAAAGCCATGCAATGTTTGTAGAGTTCACAAAAATCTAGGTCCATTAGGATCTTGGTCAAGAGTGAGTTACGTCAGTTCTATATATTTACAATTATATATATATATCATGTATGACGCCAGACCGTGTGCCAAAAGTTCATAGTACAATATTCTTTATAAAAAAGAAAAACATTCCATGATTTGCATGATTTGTGTCGGCTCTCTCTGACTAGCATTGCATATTGTAGTTAATAAATATTAATTACAAAAACAATCATACAGTGCTTGTATAGGTAATTTCTGGTGGTAGTATCATACCCAGATTTTAGGTATGTCTCCACAATGGGATCGTCCACAGAGTAGGAATCGAACCATCGTGGTGATCCATTTATCTCTGAAGCTCTGAGGGTGCAAAAGTTGTCCAATCGTGCCTGTGCCTTGTCATGCCGATATTTGGCATAACGAAGGAATGGCAATAGTAAGTTTGGATCTGAAATTGGAGGAAAAATGCTTTTGTGTTTAGTACAGAAAACACGTAGTTCACAATGCCATAAAGCATCAAAAGTACGTTATTCTAACTTTATGGATAACAGTTTTACTAGCAGCTTCTGTCTCACATGTGGCATTCAAACCCGTGAGTATCACCTACGTCTACGTAAATGCATTTATTGATCGAACTCATGCGAGACTTACGTCAGATTCCTTCCTTCCAACGCTTAATGTTTTGAGTCTCATTCATTGGATTGAATACGATACTGTCCCACATCAGACAAACACATATCTGTGGTTTGCTACGATTTGTCTTCTACTAGTTGAACACATTGTACGGTTACGATTTCTACAGTTAGACGACGGTTGCTGGTGCATCATTTGCAAGATAACGAAGTCATCGTGAAAAATGCTTCATTAGAATTCATTGATAAAAAAGAACTCACAGACGTGACTCGGGTGTAGTGCTTTCGTTTGATCAATATCGTTTTTATCCTTCTTCATTTTGCAGCAATTTGTCCGGTTGTTTCACATGGAGTCCACCAAGTTGACAATCCAGTAGTCGCTTTCAGTGTGCTCTAATACATACCTTACCCTGGCCACTGTCGGGATAATCAAGTTTCACCTTCTTTTAACACAGAAAAAAGTTTCGGAACATACCCTCATAAAACAAAAAATCATTTTTAATAAGGACTAAACTTCCATGCTGTTTTGCCTGAAATATTTTCTAATTTTGAGCTGTAACTTTCGAACAAATGCAAACTTTATTGTGATGCCGTAGGCCTCACTAAATCAAATGTTGATGAAATAGAAATATTAACATCGTGCTGGGTGATAAAATTCGGAATAAATGCTATCCGCCGATGGCTACAGATACACCAGTACAATATGGAAAACTCAATTTTATTTCTAAATTGAGAGTCATTTTGCTGAGTTTATTCAATTCCTTTACATAGACCGGCTCCGAACTATAGAGCACAATAAGAATGATAAGATCAAATAACCTGAAACGCAGTGCCAAAGGTTGATTGGAAGACAGATTAAGTCTAATCGAGCAATGTGCAGTCTAATGGCAATTTTGTTTACATCATCGAAAAATCTACCAAAATTCAAGCCAGCCACAACTTATGCAGATTGATCATTAACTGATCCAACTGTCTAAGTCGACAGGTACTCACGAATCCATGCTGTCAGTTTTGACCGGAATCGCCACACAATATGATCGTACGAACCAGCGTTTGACCACGAAAAGATGGCTTAAGAAACATTAGCTTGAACTGCCACGCAACACTATGGTTTTCAGTTCCGATTCCATTCTTGTGGTACGTATTGGAAAGGAGGTAAATGATGACGATTTTATGAGCAGTCGGGAAAAAATTTATCTCATTTTGACAGGTGGAGGTGGAAGTGAATAGTCCAATCACGGAAACCGCAATGGCAAGTGATAACACACAAATTTAAGGCGAGCTTTTATTTAGGTAATTTCCTTGCGGGTAATTTTGATGAACAGGTTCTTTGTGGACGTACCATGACGCTACTGGATTTGTACAGTGCTGGAAATGCTAAAATTTGCTATCCTATTACTCAGTGATGGCAAAGCAACATCGTTTTGGAGCTTAGAAATATATATCGATTGATACCCCTTGATTGCTCATTCAAATCTCAGCATCTTCCGTCGGTATTATTACTTCAAACAAACGGGAGAAATTGTCTTCTTTTATTCACGCAGGTTTTCACTCCGATTCAGTTGATATGCTCAGCTCATTTGCGATATTTTTCATTAGCGCCGATTATGTGGTGGCTGTATACAAATACAGCATCCTGAATCAATAGAAGCTACGCCACACGTCGATGGAATTTTTATCGATTATGTGCCTAAATGTGATTAACTGGTATTTAGTCGTAAAAACCTGTTTGAAAAATAATTTAAAAGACTGAATATTAATGCTTTTAAAATTTTGTCAGTTAAATATGGTTGCCCACACATTATGACGTGTCTCGCGAACCCAGTCACCTAACAGTCACTCAGCAAATCTCAGCAACAGAATTTGAGCTTTGAGCTTAGCTGCTGCCTATCGTCCGACAGTGATGTCGAAATTCGCGAGAGCAAATCTCAGCCGTCTCAGCCAGTTCACAGTGAAGGGCCGCCAGGATTAAAGTAAACATTCTGCACAGATACGTAATTGATAAATTAACACGAGGAATGTATTGCATATTCTTATCTTGTTAGAAGTACTCCAACTAAAGGATATCACTCTCAAAACTTCAAGGAAAGGAACACGAATTTTAGCTGAGATCTCGTAGTCAACCCGATATGTGTATCACCCCACCAACGATGTATATATATATATATATAATAACTGATCGTAAATTCTGAATGTTAACCACAGAGCAACTGCTATATACAGACCGGGAGGTCCGAAATGATGTTATAGCGGTACACAGGCAGAACCCAAGAATATGTAGTGCTCTGTTGTCCATCTTCATACAATCCATTATCTCATCAGTTCTTCGCTGTGTTCATAACTTAAAAATTTTGGGGTTCAGGCCTGTTGGTTGTCAGATTCATGTCTAGCATCCGAGTTTATAATGCATGTTTCCTTCGATTCAAGTAAAGTATAGTCCATGTTTTATGCACCAATATTCAGCAGCTACACAACCAAAGTGGAATCACTGAAGCAAGTCAAATTACACAATAATTGTGGTAATCTGGGGAAAAACAAAATTTACGATATGAATGAGTAAACTTCAGAAGCGACGCTTTCTGGTTTACCAATAAGTGGAGCCAGATATGTGCTTTAGGAGTAAACGTAATCCATAAATGCACAATTCACAAAATCTTCCTTTTGAGGACTAAGGCGATCGATTAGAACACAATGACCGAGTTAGATAACAATGACCATTTGCTTAGGGTTCTAAAGGTGTTTCTTATTTATCAAGATTGTGTTAGGGGTTATAAATTGTTTAGATCTCTTATTTACAGTGGAAGGAGAGGTGAGGGTGGGGAGCGGAGCGGAGTCGAAATGTGTCAAATATTTCATACTTGAAAGTACCAAATGTATCCTGAAGTGTACCAGTGCTAACAGCGCGGTCATTCCTTGAGATGAATGAAAAGAGTAAAAATTTGTCTAACAGCTCTATTTCAAAAACAAGGCAATTTCGTATTGCACAGGATTTTCGTGTACATTGTCTAGCTTTCGGTGAAACCAAAGATATAACAAATGAAAGTGTATTCCATTATAAAGCGCATTTGTACATGTTGATATACTCTACGATAGCTTATCCCGAAGGCTCTACGACTACTGTTATTCTCACTGGGCCCTCATAGGGGAGGGGTGATTATTTCCGATCGTTCCTGTGAGCATGAATTTCGATTTGAATTTGGTTGTCCAAATCTGTTGGCAGGTCACTTGATGAACAATACACCTAGCTGAAACTGCGTTACGGCTTGGAATCCTTTATGTGTTTAGGCAACTGAAGCGTCAAATTAGCACTCTAAAGAAGGGGTCTGGATATCTAACTGACTGACGAAAAACATTTTGATTTAAGGCTCATTAGCAAGGTATACCCCAATTTATTTTCGTAAATCATATTATCTTATGTCATGCCACTGAGATGATGTCTTATTTGCTGAATGAAATGTTACCTCGTCTTTTCGTTTGGTGTCTGTGTGTGCGTGTGCGATGCACCAGGAGATAACCTTACAAACAACTTACCTTTGGGAAATGTTATATGAGGCAGTGATTCCACCCAGCGTCGAAAGCTTTCCACGTGTGCATCTATGTGCTTCTCGTTCTCATGCAGTTCTTTCTTGGCCTTTTGCCGCAACTCGTAGGGAAGTGTCTCTCGTTGTAGTGTAGCCATCAATTCAATTGACCATACTGCAATATGAAATGACTGAAGAAGTTTGCGATGTATTTATACAAATATTCGCAAACGTATGATTACGCGCCTACTCGTATCTTTTATTCTAAAAACATCAGCCTACTGCAGTGGTTAGGACCGACGAATGGCCTCGAAAACTAGATAGAGAGCGAAAATAATTTAGCCAATGCGTCTGCTGGCATCGGCATGTGATTCATCAGCTCAATTCAGGTCCGACTTTTCCCGTATGTGTTTATGCATCAATGGTGGTGCGGGGGTTGGTGGTGATGTACCACGGTTGACTAAGAAATCGATAACAATAGCTGATGGATTTGATCAGCGCATTAGGATGCATGTGTTGAGTGCAATTACCTAAATGCAAGATCGAGGTACGTCACAGGGGAGGATCATGCGCTTTTTGACATAAAACACTGATAAACCTGACATTTTAGCCTGAAATATGTTGTACATTGTGGTTGATGAAGTAATGGCAAAAATGGACTACTCTTTTAGTAATAGGTACAATTTAGTTATCCATTTGTTCGAATGCTTCACGTGGCATGTAGCACACAGACCACGAAGGGGAGGGGCAGGATCATAGAACCTACTAAAACAATTCACTTTGGATTCCGAGGAGAAAAACTGAGCTGATAAAATGTTTCAACAGTGATAGCTATCACATTGATCTATTTGAAAACAATGGGGCGACTGGCATTCTTTGTCACATACGAATAATAATGGCAAATAAACAGAACAATTCAGATAAACCACCATTTATATTGTTATTCTTGAAGTTGAACAATAGCGCGTCAGCAGCATGCATTTCACATTCATTATACGTGACTGACGAACAAGTACTAAAAAACAGATTCAGCATTCCAATGTAAGACATAAACGTTTAGAGAACCACAGGGAACGATAGTGCTGTACGAAAAAGAGGGCATTGTCTATTGTCTTTTAGAATCATCCTGACAAAGCCAGCCATCTTTTCATTTTTGTGGTACCTTCCGACGAAAATAAATAATTCGCATGAGCAATTTAAATATAGCTTCCTCTCAGAGAATTCATTCATTGTACTTGCCTGTTCATTGATCTTCTATCGTGCAACACGATACTTCTTGTAAACCCATTCGGACTGACCAGTAATTCCTTGTTGCGACGGGATTACTATCTAGAGTTCACCCATTTTGTATTTGTATTTGCATAACTTGTGTAAACATATTCCCTACATTTCAGTTAAAAATGTACACCGTTCATCACGCAGCATGAAATAATAATGATAAAAACGAAAGGTAAAGAATGTCGATGATATTTGTTTCATGTACAAAACTTTTGACGTAGTTCATTGGAGACCTGTTCATTTTTGGTAAGTAGTCGTGCCAAGTCAAGTACAGAGCAACTTTTATAAATGTTAATGCGAAAGGGTAGATGCCGAAATGGGGAGCGTGTGGACGGATGGGAACAACAGGACAATAGATCAGGGTATAGTGGATGAAGAGGGTCATCTAGAATCTTTTGAGCAAATTTAAAACAAGAGTTGATAAGACCATCAATGAGTTCCGTGATTAATAAATCAATTAGGATCATTGATGCACGACTGAATACCATCAAACCACGGTGAAGTGTTTTAAAGTCTTGTTTTAAAAGACGGGGAAACATTACAGGGAAGCAGTAAAGTAGAATTGGTAAAACACATTGATAAACGAAAGAGGACAGAACTGACTGTGGGGTTCGGAATTGCCTGAGTTTGCGTAACTGAAAAGATAGGCGTCTCAGTTTTCGCATAGAGTTTTAAATATGTGTAGACCAGCGAAGATTGCCATCGATGGTGATACCCAGGTACTTGACTGAGGTCATTCTGTGTACAGGTTTACCGTTAAGGACAGCAGAATCCGTTGCAAACGAGGAGCGGAAAAGACTGAAAATACACTCCAAGATTGAGACCAGATTGGTCAGAAAACTTTTGGATGTGGGATAGGTTTTCAGTAAAAGAATGTAATTCCGGAGATGAAACTGTCTGAGACAAAACAAAGTCATCGGCATACTTTTCTATGTTCGCAGGGGGTGGGACCGAAATGTCACTAATAAAGGCAGAAAAAATATATGGAGATAGAAGGGCACCTTGAAGAACACCAGAATTATTAACAAGAGGTTTTTATAAGCTATCACCATACTCTGTCACTCCTCTGGACTTCCGAAAAGCATCCAGTCGGACGAACCATGAGATTCTACTGCGGAAACTATAAATACGGTATTCGGGGCCTCGTGGTTGATTGGATGGAAGCATTTCTCCGACAACGAATAACGGACATTATTTGTGGGGTCTCCTCAAGTGGCTGTGTTTGACCCGCGACTTTTCCGATCACTCATAAGCTACCTACCGAAGGCTATGGGGCAAAAATCAATAATATTTGAAATGACACCAAACTTTGGAATACAGCGACACAACAAACGGCCTCGCTGGCACTGCAGGGAATGCTGAAAGCAGCTCACCTCTGGTCCCTTGCGAACGATATTGAATTCAATGTGCTCAAGTGTAATGTTCTATCTCTACCACACAAAGGGCGATTTTTGTATTTCCTTGGAAATTAGTAACTGCCACATGCCTCAAATGAGAAGAACCTGAGCATCATCATTCAAGAAGATTTAAGCTCCTCACTCAACTGCACCAGTTCGTCGAACGCAGCTGTAAAGAATGTTGGTTTTCTTATGTGTCTTTAACCGGTTTGAGTAAGCGCTTGGCCCCTGTCTGCCATCAAAATACATTTGGCCACTCACGGAGTACGCTGTTTAAATGTGGAATCCATGGCTACAACGTGATTGCAAAATGCTGGAGCGTCCACAAGGTACGGCCAACAAAATGGATAAGTGGCTGAATCGCCATTCATAAGAACCTGGAATCGCTGGGGTTACGTTCGACTCACTATCGGCGCATCAGAGAATATATGATCATGGTATACCAAATAACGCAAAACCCAATCCATCCATGTCGCCCGCAACTAAAATTATCACTCAATGTCCATCTCAGAGGATATCCGTTCAAACTGGTGGTCTCAAAATTCCGATTGGAATGCCGGCGTCAGGCATTCGCAGTCACAGTTTGTTTGATCTGGAACTCTCTCCCACCCCACATCGTCTGTGGGTCAAGCGATAAATGTTTGAAACTGAGACTTGATGAGGCATTAGCTCGCCTTACATTCCAACATAAGTGAAGCTGCGTGTAGCAGTGGAAGAAGCCCGTATCATGAGGCATTTTCACACGTGTAATTGTATACATCACTGTCTTTTAGCCGCAACACAAACCAATGAGACGATTTAAGCATAAGCTTGTAAGTTATTCCCATAATAAAACTTTGAAACTTTGAAACCTGCAGTTGCGGTGACACTTACACAGAACAAATCGGACATTGTCACACATTCCCAAATGATTACTACATTCAATGACACAGCAAAATCTCTGAGGTCAATCTGATTACAAAAATCAAGTTACATCAATCGACAACTGAAAATATCTTTGACCCATTCTTGTCTTTTAAGCCGTTATTACGTACCACGGATTCCTTACTGTTAACTTTCAGCAAGGTGATGTTAACCGAGTTATGCAATCCGATTGGTGCTCACATAAATTTCTGACGCATTCAGGTAAATTGCGCTGGTACTGATTCCCCCTGACTTTTGCTCGTTAGATTACGATAGTTATCGAACACTTTATCCTATGAATATCAGATTGTTTTGCGCTGTGGCGACTGAGGATATCGAAAGAAATGTAGTTGTCTCAAAATTTTCTCCTGCATTTCACCTGACTGCTTGAAATACTTTCTCATTAAAACAGGTTTGAAAAATTAGAAGTAGCTCATCGTCACTGGACTCACCTGATTTTGTTACTAACAAGTTGGTTGCTAACTATAGTGTCATGACACAGTTTATCAACGCTAGATATGTACCAATTTAGGTTAATATCCAGTTTTGTTCATTTACTCCAGTTCACCGCACTTGGCAGTGTTTGCAAACATTTCATCACCAGTCGAGGTAACACCTTCAGTATTTGTGAAGTGCTCGTGTTCTTTTTATGCCTGGTTGCTTATATTTGTACTTCCGTGACTATTTTTTCTCCTTATTCACAGTGTTTGACCTGATTCACTATGGAATAAGTGCAACAGAAGATCCATCTCCCCTTTTCCAGTTCAGCAGCGAATCAGACCGAACACAGGTCGAAGACACAACAGAAATAGTCGCCGAAGAAAAACATATATAAGCAAACAGTTATAAAAAAAAACACGGACACTTTATACGCACTGAAGATGTCACACCAACCAACTGGCGGTGAAATACCTCTAAACAAATCATCTGGCTTGGTGAACAGGAGAAAATGAATTCAGTTCATCCGGGTTGCGCGAACCGATTTTCAACGGAGTTTGGTGGTTTGCAATGATTAGGAATTTATTCATTAATGGGAAGCTCAAGATTTCGGAAATTCCAGCGAAACCGAAATTCACACAGAACTTCGTGACCAAATCATTTGGCGCTTCGGTGGGGTAGAGAAGACAATGTAAAATGTTCTGTCAAATGCATAAATATTGAAGTGGAATGCCGGTTGTTCATTTAGCAAGAAAAATGGTATTTTTAAATCAAGCAAATATTTATTGACGTAAATGATACTGTGTGTCAGTGTTACACGTGACTGCTTAGTTCGTACAGGGTGGCTTTCGAGATAGAGTGTGATCTACGAAAAAACATCATGCTTCTAGATTACGCTAAATTCACTTCAAAACATCTATTACACGTAGCTTATGATTGTAATGAAAAAAGAAGTGAGTTAATGAAGGACTTAAATGAGCCTGTCGGTAGACGAGCTCACCTGAAGCACGAAAATGGTGATTCCGATTTTAAAAACACGGCAAAGAAACAGCATGGTACTATCCAAATTACCTTGAAAAGCTTCTATGTTGCAGCTATCGGGGGAGTATATCGAAGGTAAGGATAACACTTCACTTAAGCTA